TTTGTGAACCTGCTTCTTCCCAAAGTATACCACATCAATAAACTATATAGAGAGTTCTATGAAAGGCAATAGAGTGAGTGTGATCAAGAAGCACCTTTTTGCCTTTTTTACTGCATAATTGAAGACAAGCTGTGTTATCAGCAATAAAAAAATTGCGTACCTGTGCCCGTGCGAGGTATTTTCTGCTTCCAGAGCTCAAATTTTAAATGAAAGGCTTTGCACGTATCCTCTGTTTCGAATTCAATCCTCAATGCTCTCGAACAGGGTTTCTAGACCATGCTGAAATTATTAGGCACAATGTGCAAAAAAACAAAACAGAAATACGCAGATTTCAGGTGTATGCATACATCTGTAGAGCCTTCAATCTCAGAAACTTCGATAACACAGAGTAAATCCTTAGGCCCTAGTTTGAAAAGCTAAAACAACCGGATGTTAGAGGCTCTTCAAATAGCATTTTCTTCAAAAAAAAAAATCAAAGAGCAAAGAAATAATCAAAAAAAATAGGAAAATAATAACAATAACTAACGACGGATTCTCAAGTGACCAGCACCGTGGGAGAAAAAAAAAAGAAAGAAAAATATGGGAGGAAAAAGTACAAGAATAATTCCTGTCCAGGCGAGAAAGAAATTTCAAAAATTAACCAAATAACCAAATGCTAACAAATGCTAAAAATCTGCCTACATTTTACCCATTAAGCAACAAAGTGCAATCGACATATCTTATAACTAAAAGTTCATAATAATAAATTAAAACATGTCTAAAGAGATGGCCATTAAACAATTATTCAATACCAAAAAAGGAAGAAAGGTCAGGCATTATAATAAAACTCCTGAGAAAGAAGTAGATAAAAAGTACTAATGAGCTGTATAATAATGGAACGAATAAATTACTCTATGAAAAACCAGGACAAAAATCATTTCTTCAACAAAGATTGAAAAGGGAAAACCTTAGAAGTGCCAATGTCGATGTGGACGGTAGAGGAGGGAAAACTCGGCAGACCAAACCGAAGGAAATGCCCACCAAACCGATCGGCTACAAACCAGGCAGACACTGCGGCCACCGGTGAAGCTTCTCGGGAAGATGACGACGAGACATGGGAAACAGACACGCCGTGAAACTCACATTTCCGATCGTTCTGAAGCAAGTCTGACTCCATCGACTTCGCGTGCGCATCCATTTCCTCCCTCGCCTTGTCGCTTTTTGGATGTCGTTGTTAGGGCTACTGAAGCATAGATTTTACACCGTTCTTAACGCGATTATTTTCTTTTATAGGATCATTTATTTCACAAAGATTTAAATGAATAAGGGCGAATTTCGGCGATATTTCCGGCGATATGAAGCATTCTATTTTTTTTTTTTTTTCCTAAGAACGGGCATCTTTCTCACCTCAATAATCTCCTATCACACAGCTCACTTTAATTTACTGGTTGAGAGCTTAGACTTCCAACTAAGAGGTCATGGGTTCGAGTCTTTGTGTATGTCTTGTATGTATGAGTTTGCCTTAAATGACCGAAATGTTCCAAAAAAAAGAAAATCTCATAGCCTATACTTTTTTAGATCCCTCTTAGGTCATCTCCAACCGAACGCCAAACGAGCATAAGGCGTCGTTCGGTCGCTCCAACCGAACGCAAAATTTTCCGCCATCTACTTGCAGGTGAACGTGCGGCGCCAATATTGGCGTCGCACTGTTCACCCACGCCATTTTCGGCTCTCAACCGGAAAAACGCGCGAAAGGAGAACGATCGTTACCTTCCCATAAACACCTAAAATGGCGTTTGATTGGAGCAGCCGCACGACATTTTGGAGTTTTGCGTTATTTTGCCGTAAAAAATAGAGTTATTATTTTATAAAGTTGAAAATAAAACTATATATGCTGCCCAAATGAAGTCTTTTTTTTTTTTTTGATATATTATCAAAAATTTATCTTGATCAAGCACGAATCTCGAGGCAAAAATTGAGTTAGAAATTTAAAAAATAAAATTTGAAACTATATGAACTCCGATTTCAACAAAGGAATAAGAAAGTGCCAGAATTAAGAAAGGAAACAACAAGAGAATGAAGAAAATGAAGAGACTCCTCATCGACCACTGCCAGACTTTCACCCGGCAACGGACTGACGCTAAAGTTTTGTCGGATGGCCAACTAACGCTGGAATTAAGCAAGGAATCAAGAATATAATGAAGAAGAGGAAGAGAAGAAGATAGCTCTCTTATCACCACACTCTTCCTCGATCACCGCTGGACTTCCACCCGACAGCCTACTGATGCTGGAGTTATGTTCAAATGTCATCTAACATCGGAGTTCTTCCCGGTCACTAACTGACGTCGGACTTCTACCCGACACAAGACCTCCGCTCGTTTCTGGATTTCTACCTGATACCAGACCTTTGCTCTTCACCGAATTTCTACCCGACACCAGACCTCCGCTCGTCGTTGGATTTCTATCCAAAGTCAAACTTCTACCCAACGTCGAACCTCTGCTCGTCACGGAATTTCTACTCAACGCCGAACTTCAGCCCGTCGCCGGACTTTTATCCGACGCCGAACTTCTGTCCATCGAAAGATTTATACCCAACGCCGGACTTCTGTCCATTAACAGACTTCTACCCAATGTCGGTCCTCCGCTCATCGCCAGATTTCTACCCGACACTGAACTTCTACCCGACGTTGAACCTCCGCTCGTTGTCAAATTTCTACCTTATGTCGGACTTTCACCAGACTTCTATCTGACGCCGGATTTCTGTCCATCGACAAACTTCTACCCAACGTCAGACTCTTGTCTGTCACCGAATTTCAACCCGACGTCAGACTTCTTCCTGTCGTCGAACATTCATCAGACTTCTATCCGACATTGAACTTCTGTCCATCACTGGACTTCTACCCGACGACATCCTTCCGACCTCCGCCGCCAGACAACAATCTTTATGACCTCTATCGTTTGCCGAATACGATCCCTCATCCGACCACTGTCACCAAACTACGGTCTTTCTGATCTCCGTTGCCCACCAACTATGGTTCTATCGACCAAACAAATGTATTAATAGTGATTCTTCATATTCTCACAATGTATTGTACTATGTATTGTGTATATTTGTTACATCAAGTCATGGCCTTCCTTCCAATGAAGGGCCTCATTTGCAGGCGGAGGCAGGGTGGGGGCACATGCCCGCACTAGCCAGATGATTTTTTTTTACTAGTTTTTTTATGTACAAGCTGTAAATAAAAAAAAATAAAAATCATTCCATTAAGTTCTCTCATCCTTTAATCTTCTCTCTCTCTCTCTCCATCTCTTCCCTCTATGGCTATATTGCAAATAAAAGCTAAAATCCACTCTATTGTATGTACAAAAAGCCAAAAATCATTTAACCAATAAATTTTTTTGGAATTCTTTTATCATTCTTTTTTCGAATAAAGGTTTCAATTTTATTTTTTGGGTTCTATTTTAACTTGTGAAAATTAAATTAAATTAAAAAAAATTAGTAAAATTTTATTTGAGTTAAAATAATTTTAAATTTTTAAATGAAAATTTGTTTATATAGTTTGTGTTTATTTTTGTTCACTTGAGCAAATTTTAATTTTTTCAATGAAAAATATTTTCAATTTGTCTAATCATTTTTTTATTATTTAATGATTATCATTCAAATGATAGGGATATAGTGAGAAGAATATAATTATTAAGAAGACATTGTCAGGCCGATTATAAATTCCCTACCAAACACAAGTTAAAATAAATTACATTAGATTTAAAACTGGATGATGCTAGTTCCCAATATTTTTTTTCAATATTATTATTTACTAATATATTTTTAAGTATATTATTTATTAATACTATATATACTATATATATATTTATGCCCATATTTTGATTTCACAACCCTACTTACTTTGATGTAACCATATCTTAAAAAATACTTTTATTATTCATCACAATTATAATTTCTTGATTGCGAACTCAAACAAACTATATCATTGCATGGATATCAACTCACTAAATATGGTAAAAATCTCAAAAGTTAATGCTAGATCTAAAAATTTAAATTCCATCGTTTATTAAAATATATGATATAATATTATATACCCACAAAATTATTATTTTTAGCCATGCAAAAATTGCACTTTGACCACTATTAAGCTGGAGCATAAAAAAATCTATCCCTCTACTTTTGCAAACTAAGGCTTCATCCAGTATGTCTTTTCTTAATTCTGTTAAAATAGTTTTTTAATGCTGAAATTTTAATTTTTTACCATAAAGCTACTATAAAAATGTAAGAAAATATATATTTAATAGGCATTGACAAATGAATAATTGTACAACCGGTTTCAAAAAATGAAGACTCGACATGAGAAATTATAGATTTAATATGTAAGTTTTTGTTTTATCAAATTTTATCTTTTTATAATTGGAAACTAAGCGATTTAAAAAAAAAAAAAAACTGCCAATTCCTTTTTCAATCCTTAGATAAGGAAGGTTTAGATTTTTTTTTACATCGAGATTTGTGCCCCCACATCAAAAAAAATAATTGGCTCCGCCCCTTCTTCATTTGTAATTAACTGCAAATACTAGTATATTCATTCAAACTAGGCTAAGCCCGCCGATTTGTTCCCTTTTAGGGTTTTCCACATAAAAATCTTCGTGTCTCTTATGAATGCTGCACTCTCTCTTTTTACTTGATTTGCATGTTTGAATCTTCGTACAACGTAACATGTTAAACTTTTTATTTCTCTACCGCTTGCGAATATTTTCAGGACGCAGCATTTTTATATAATAAATAATAATAATAATATATGAGCTTTCACTTAGAATCCAATTATTGTTGATATGTCTAAAGATAATTCAACTTGATACAAATCATTGTGCAAATATTCACAATCTTTTTAGAATTAATTCAAAATTATATGTAGACCAACTTTAACAAATTTATAAAATTGAGCATTTTGATGGCCACAAACTTAATAATACTTAAAAAGCAATCCAATCTAATTCAAATAAGACAAATCAATCTAAAATCGAAAGATAGTTCAATTTGAAATATTAATGAAGCCTCAAATTATCTTCATTCCTTCATGCTATATAATCAAAAACGAGCGACCAACGAGTGAAACCAATAAAAAATTCTTCATGTCTCTTATGAATGCTTGGCACTCTCTCTTTTTATCTGATTGCATGTTGATTCTTCGTACAACGTTTACAATGTTAAAACTTTATATTTCTCTACCGCCGTTGAATAGTTTTTCAGACGCAGCATTTTTATATTAATTAAATAATAATAATTAATATATGAGCTTCACTTAGATCAATTATTGTGATATGTCTAAAGAAATTCAAACCTTGATACAAATCATGTGCAATATTCACCCAATCGTTTAGAATTTAATTCAAAAATTATATGTAGACCAAACTTTAACAAAATTTTATAAAATTGAGCATTTTGATGACACAAACTAATAATACTAAAAGCAATCCAATCTAATTTCAAATAAGACCAAATCAATCAATTGAAACATAGTTCAAATTTTTGGAATATTAATTGAAGCCTCAAATGATCTTATTCCTTCATGCTTATAATCAAAACGAGCGGCCCAACGAGATGAATCCAATAAGCCCAATATCAGTGATTATGATTTCAGTCAAAGTACTTAAATGCTAAATAAATAATTTATAGTCAAATGATTCAATGTGAGACATTAGATAGAGAGTTATTAAATTTTGGCTAAATTTATCAAAATATCCATTATCATTGCATATCACCATTCATTTATGCATTAAATATTCGATCCTTATACCTCCACTTAGATGCACATGAGCATCAATAAAAAGCCGCCAGCATTTCCTTCTTTTACATGATTTCAATCAAACACTTCACATAAATATATAAAAATTTACATTTATGGTAGAGCATTCAGAATTTCAGGGTAAATTTATATGCACACTTCAATAATTATCAAACATAGAGCTATTCACACATAGTGTTCACAGTTATATTTTTGGTACTTTTATCCTTCTAAGATAACATCAATTAAAACACGTACATAAAAAGTGTACAAACTCCATAAAATAAAATGTGTAGAATAACGAGACAATAACGCATAAAAAGTTACATGGCAAAAATTTCTTAGATATCAAATTATCTTAGTTTTTTCATGTTTGCTTAAGTAAAAAATTTCATAAAAAGCCATATTATTAAAAACAAATGTTGGGTAAAAGTAACATATATCGATCCGGAGAATATTCATAAAAGACTCATGGATGAAAATAGCTTCAAT